TGGGATGAAATCGGATAGGGATGAAATCGGATAGGGATAAACGGGTTTAAGAGTTTTTAAGAATTTTTAAGAGTTTTAAGAGTTTTTAAGAGTTTTAGCCAAATGCTTTATAAGATAGTATAGATAATTTGTGTTGATATTATGTTTATATTTCATTTTAGCTAAACGTATAGGTTACCAAAAGAGATTCACGATCAAAGAATGATGACAAATAATTTAATTAATAAGAGAAGATTATTGAAATTTTTTTTGCAGCAACAACAAATTGATATGTCAGATAATATGAATGATGCTAATATATATTTTGTTGACGAATCCATCAATCTAAATACCCCAACATTTGATGTTGTACTTTAGTGGGATTAAAATGTTTAGTTGTAGCATTTCGCTACAACAACATTAGATCTTATAAGATGCCTAAAATGTCTAAACATTCTAATATGATTATTTATAAGACGAAACAAGAAAAATGTCTTATCTAAAAGAGTAATCATCCTAACAAATTCTATGACGCTTTTAAAAATAAAGTATCATATTAGTTATTTTATACGACACGACTTTAAAAATGTATGAACATAGGTGTCTTGTAAATAGATGAGTTTTAAGGACACTTTTCAAAATATTTATATAAAATAACTAATACGACATTTTATTTTAAGATCATTCTAAAACACTTGTTGAAGCGTTCAAAAACATCATGTGAACATATTGTAACAATTTTAGATAGGACGTTTTATAGTATGGTCTATAAACTTAAGTTTTATGAATTATTTTATTCGTCAAATTTATGTAACTACTAACCCGCCAACCCAACCCAACCCGTAAAAGTTGGGTTGGGTTATTCTTTTGAATGAGTTGGCTGGGTTGAGATTTTTCCAAACCGCCATAATTGAATTGGGTTGTAAAAATGTTATAAATCGTCCAACCAAACCCGCATGCACCCCTAAGTAGCATACAAACCCCGGTATTTTATGTTCTCTATTTTCAAGATTTTGTTGGAGATGAAAGCTCCATCACCATCCACCCATGATGAAATCCAACTATATCCACACCTAATATTGATTTATATGAAAATGATAAAATTAATCCATTTTTAAAAGCTAATCGTTTTTGTGGGATTTAACAAGAGAACATAATCTTGAAACAATATAAAACATAATAAATTAAAGGAAAATAACATACACATGATTAGTTTTTTTAAAGAAATTAACCCAGCCATATAATGTTAATTGAAAAATGATCTTTAAACTGACTTTGTTTACAACTTCGATGTAGGATGACTATTAACAGGGAATGTTTTTGTACCGAAATGTACCTTGATGATTAAGTGATGATACCAAAATATCATCAGGGTCCGAATCTTCATGAACACGAATGTGCTTCACCCTAGCTCATCATACGACAGGAAAAAACTTGATTTCACTGAACTTTTGAAGAGATTATTCCCGAATATTCACATAATCAACGAGATCAGTCTCTGGTTTGATTTTATCCATTGCATTAGAAAAATAGCATGGAGGACCAAACCCTGTTAATCTTAGACGCCCATGATGAGGCTACCAAAGATGTCATGCTTAGACGCACATAACTTTTGTTTCAGTCCCACAACTAGTCGATTCGAAGTTTGAAACGAGTGACACGCCCCACGGATTTTTAGGCCTAAAGACGTTGTTTAAACATGTGTTTTTTGACATATTTGTGTGTTTTGCTACTCTTTTACATTTTTCGTTTGAATTTTTATGTTTAACCTAGTTTTTTTTCATACCCATTTTCGTTTTGACCTTCTTATTTACATGTGTATTTGTAATTTGGATGATTACTTTTTGAATAAATAAATTTTCGATCTCCTTCCTAAAATCGAGTTCACAATATGAATCGAATTTGAAGCCTAAAGTTGTCGAATCAACGAACTTTATAAGAGATTATTGTAAGACATTCTTAAAAGAAAAATAGCAATTGGTTTGATTTTACTGTTGCAGTCAATGATTCGTTTCACATAACAGATGATATTAAAATTTTGATAATATTTTAGATGGTTTTTAAACAAATTTAATGAGTTTTTTCTTTTTAACAATAAAATAATTAAACTCTGGTTGTGTTTATTAAATATTTAAATATATAATAATAATAATAATAATAATTTAAATATATAAGAGTCGGTTAACTCGTAAAACTCGAAATAGAATTATGGTAATGCTTTATCGTATGGAAGGAAAGCCGTTTTAGTTTTTGAACCGTTAGTTGACTCCGTTTGACTAATTCTTTTCTTTGTATTTCCCTTTGGAATCAAATTGCCATCACGTTTTCCGTCGGTCTTCCATTCTCAAATTCTGATCTCACAACCCTTCTCTGTAACAATAGACGAAAGCTTGATGGTTGGGGAAGAATGAGGATTTGAGATTCAGTTAGTTTTCAATCGACCTAGGTTTATCGATACAGAAAAAAGAAAATGGGTAGCGCTACTGACAGTAAGAAGGAAGTGATTCGATTGGAGCGTGAATCGGTTATACCTATCTTGAAGCCCAGGCTCGTCATGACTTTGGCCAATCTTATTGGTAACACCATCATTCCTTTAATGTTTTATTTTTGTAATGTTGGGTGATGTTCACCAAGTCAATTTCTTTATAGTATGTCTTTTGATTTCTAGGTTGTTCAGTTTTTGTTAAAGATTTAGGGTTAGTATTGTTGTAGTGGGTAGGATATCCCTTTTGGGAGACCAGTGTATTAGGGCTTACTAGATTGTTTAAGAGGATACCCTATAAAGGAAGAGCACCTTGGTCATAATCACGTAAATAAAAGAGATAATTTAGAACTGCACGAACCATGGAGGGTGAACCATGAGACTGGATTGTTGGGCACTGGATAGGAGTTGAGACTGGAAAATCAATATGGTTTTATGTTGGAAAGATCAATGGCATTGGCTGTATTTGATTATATGACTCATGAGGAGATATATGAGATGAAAAAGATTTTCATATTATGTTTATTGATCTCGAGAATATGTATTGCTGAGACAAGGATGTGATTAACCCCTAGAAGAAGAAATGCTACCCAAACTAGTTTGGGATAGAAGGTTTTTTATTGTAGTGGTTGGAATAAGTTAAGTTGTTGAGGTCTATGTGTAGTTCTGCAGTGCTATGTGATTCTTATTCTAAATATCTATTATCATTCTTTGTTTTCAATGTCATGTGCTACATAAGGCTATTCACAAATGCATTTTGCTTGAATGACTTTCCACGTATGATCCTGTCCTATACCATCTGCTATCCTCACCAAACTAGGATGAACTATGTTCTGTATCATGATCTCCGTTATTCTAATGTAGTGTTGTATACTCTGCTGTTAATTGCGGTGCTATAGCAGTGCTATTGCGGTTAGCAGTCCTAGGGGAAATTCACCGCAATTGGGCTGGAATTTTGATTTGCAATTAGGAGCCGTGTGAAAACTCGCAGTTGGCCTTTTAAAGGGTTTAGAGAAGTCAGTTAAGGGATTACGAGCTAGGGGTTGATTTTGATTTGCAATATTGGTGTGTAAACTCGCTATTCCTCTCTCATCTCTTCTGTTCTAGCCTATTATTCTGCATCTTCTCTTCAACAACATTGCCTTCCAACATCGTTTGCTTGTCCTCTCTTCTATTCACATTTTCTTATGTTCATCTTCAAAATATATGTTATGTATACATTCATATATAATTGTAATTATTGCATGAACTGCTATTCGTGGACCGCTATACCACCGTGTTGCCATTTCGATAACCCCTATATCAAATCACGGTCCTGAGTGCTATCATTCTGTTTCATTTGTAGTCGACAGCACTCTAGAAATCCTCGCAAGTGCCACTAAAGCACCTGCCTAGGTTTACGCATCCCTACTATTGGTGTGATTAATTAAGGCTGCTTAATTAGTCACTTAGGTTTAATTTATCAGCACCTAATTGTTGAAGTAAGTGTTTAAAAACATAATGGGCATTAATTGGCTTTTAGTAAATTTTCCAATTGTTTATGAGCAGTTATATTATTGGAACTAGTCATTTAGAAAAAAATTGCAATTCCGAAATAATGTAATATATAATTCTAAAAACTCATATGTATAAATAACCAAATGTTAACTACATTTTATACATTTAAATGATTGGCTTGTATGTGCTTTAACCCCACTTAGATGAATAAGGGCTAGAAGGTCACGCCACCACCTAGCTCTGTTGAACGCTCTTTAAAGTACTAGTGTCTGAGCTTGTTCAATGTTCATCACTAAAAGATTTTAAGTCACTTTAAGTATATTGGAAATACTGAAGTTACTTCGACTTGATTTTGATTTCTGAAAATTACTCTAAATAAGACAATCAAAGAGCGTGACAGGCATACACATTCCGATTTTTCGTTCGTATTGAACATAGTTAACCCCTGGTCTTGTTTTATATTCCCTCTGTTCCAAGAAAGAGATTCATTTTGACCTTTTATATTGGACATAGCACTACACAAATGCATAATTTGTTGGATCTGACCCAAGATTTTCTTATAGTAATTTTAGAATTGCATCAATTTTGAACTTCAGATTTAGTCAGTTTAACATCTACATGCTACAATCAAGTCATGTCTCTTGAATGGAGGGAGTCTTTTACTTCTTCAATGTGACCTCTTAACTTCAAACTAAGGGGATGTTCGGTGATGGCTTAATGGGCAGTTAAGCCTGTATGGCTTATTCAGTCAGCCGTACATGTTTTCCTTTCTGGCTTATTCATCAAGCCGATGGCTTAATCGGTCAGCCAAAAATGTAGAGTCCTATGGACTCAGTCATTTATTCATCCTATATTCCATGTTTGATCTTTCACATTTCAAGTATTGTCTGACTATTCTGGTGACTACCTCACCATACCCTTCTCCCTCTCCCAACTTAAATCCACCGTCATCTCCACCATGTCTACTCTAACAATAATAGTAATAATTAATAATAATAATAACAATAATAATAAATATACTATGGGTAAAATAATCAAATATATCAAATAATTATTTTAATTGGTTTTTAATACAAACCTAGGGGTAAAAATCATTTTTGTCATTCAAACTGTTTATTCAACATCATAAAACAACAATTCAACCTACTTCATACAGACAACTAAATTCTTAGATACAACTAATCTCATACAGGACTTGATGAAAAACCAACCGATCAGCCCCTAAGTTTGACATCAGTAATCAAAGTGCATCTGTTTTCTGGAATGGAGTATTTTACTTTTTCAATGTGACTTTTCAAGCTTTCAAACAAGGTTCAGTATTGCAGAACACAGTTCTGACCGGTCAGAGTTCTTGAAGCTCTGCAAGAGAGTCGAGTACACAATTCGAGCATGGTATCTTCTTCAGTTTGAAGATCTCATGGTATTATATACTTATATCAACTTATGTTATACTGTTACTGTTGTTTAAAAAGTTTGAGTTCTATGGAAGTGTTGATTTTTAATTTCCATGGTTCACATACTTGCAGCAATTGTATTCACTCTTTGATCCTGTCCATGGGGCTCGAAAGCTGGACCAGCAAAATCTATCATCACAAGAAACTGACGTTCTTGAACAGAATTTCCTGACATATATGTTTAAGGTAGCATAGTCATGACCTAAAATAATAGAGTCCAAGCTTGACATCTGTTTTAATCATCATGAGGGCATGATTCTTATCGTAAGCTGTTATATTCACCCCATGTGATATACAATGGAACACTCTAATTTTATTAAACTTTGAATTGTGTCCTTTATTAGTCATTCATGCAATATGTCCCTCTCCCTTTTTTTATGCATGCATGTACGTGTACAGACTAGTACTGTGATCATCCGTTTTTTACTTGTTATATTTCACACAACTCTTCACTGGACGTGTACTTTGTTGTACTAAAAGCAGATGCCTCACATACTTGCATGCATGCTTATAATCATTGTGGTGACAACTAGTTAACATTTGTCGTATATTTCTTGAATGTTGAACTGAACATTGTAATTAAATTGAATCGGTCTTACCAAATTTACTCAGTTTTCCATTTTGCTCAGGACTTAGACATTGCTCTTAATCCCCTAGTGCTTCTCTTCAACATCTCACAAGTCCTTGTAAACAAATGAATATCAGTTTCATTGACTTCTAATCTTGCCATGAGATGCGTGCTTCCCTTCTTCTGAAGAGGGTGGGCTGCCCTTTAGTTGACAAACTTGCTAAGCCCTTTACCTTAATTTTTTCTATTTGCACCCCTTTTGGCTTCAAGAAATCAACTTTTATGTTCTCTGTGTACTTAAGCATGTTACATGTTCATGTTCTTGCTTTTCCCTTGGGATGTCATCTTCAAATTGGTTCCAGAAGGTACAATGTTTTATCCCTTAAAGTACAATCTTTACAATTACAGGTGATGGAGAAGAGTAATTTTAAGATCTGCACCAATGAGGAGATTGAAGTTGCACATTCCGGGCAGTATCTTTTAAATCTTCCTATCACAGTGGACGAATCAAAGGTTTGCTGCCGTGATGGATACCTTGCTTAAACCATGTACTTGTATAGTTGTTTATAACTATGTTAGGTGCTATTATCATTGTCTCTGTGTCTAATAACATTTCTTCTTTCCTGTTTCCCCCCTTTAAATATAGATTGATAAGGACCTTCTGAAGCGGTACTTTGCAGAGCATCATCATGAAAACCTTCCCGACTTTGCTGATAAGGTATTGCAAAGTCTAGGTATAAGATAATATAGGTGTGGGATATATTATTGTGTTTGCAGCCCTGGTTATGGGTCTCCTTTAGGATCATGGCTTTTTCCAGTAGTACCTTTTCTTTTTATGCTTGTTCTAATTAAAACCACAAGAAGGTAGTAACAGAGCATCCAAAAAATTGTTTTTCCCGCTATCCATCTTCACCACCATTATGTTCTCGTGCTGTGAGATGCTTTGAATGATCATTTTCCATTTTTCTGTTAACTAGGTAGTGACTGCTTAAGAAAGGGTGGTTGGAGGTTAGACCAGTTTTCATTTTTATTTTTTCTTCACTGATGCTGCTGCTATTGTCTGCAATAATGTTGATAAAATAGGTGGGGCATATTACAAACAAAAGCTGTTTCCATTTGGTTGTTCTACATGTTTTTGCATCCCTTTGGGATCAGTCCACTTTGCTTCTGTTATATGGAGTTTCTGTGAAGGATGTTTTTAGTAGGGATAGTTGAGGGGCTAATGTGCTGGATGAGTAAAAGTACTTTGGCTAGTCTATTTTTGTAGTGCTTGTCTCCCACTACTTATGTAGCTAAGAAACAGATGATTGACAAGAAAATGCATCATAAGTCAGTTCCTGACCAAGCCTAGAGGGGGACGCTGGAAACAGGAAGGAAAAACAGATTTGGCATCTGTAAAAATAGCTTAAATCAGGAGGGTTTTTAGGATACTGATAGAATAAGACAGTTTGAGGGACGAAGGTCAAATATGAGGTTAAGGTTTTTTTTATATGACCGGCTTGTAGATGTTAATTGCACATACATTCTCTGTTCACTGTTAGCAAGCTTTTTTCTGTTGGTAATAGGAGCAAGTTCCTTACTACCTTGTCCAACAATTCCTAATGACATTGCTCCTCTGGTGAAATCTTCAAATAGATGTACGAGCAACGGTGCGAGTTGGACCCAATGAAAACCTTTCGAAGGCCTTGGAAATTGGGAGTTGGAAGTTTTAGATTGCCTTTTTTGTGATTTTTGGTGCAAGGCTATAGATGACAGTGTAGAAAATGAACACAATTATAGCTTGTTGGATGTCTCTGTCTTAAGCTGGCTGACCTCTCTGGGGAATAGATTTTTTGTAATCCTTGCTTTTAGCTGTAAAAAACTGCAAAGTAAAAGGCCGGACTCCTTTTATGACATTGTGTCAGTCAGACTAAGGATGGAAAAACTTGACATTAATGTCGTGAAACGTAAATGAACCAATGACTGGGAAACTGGTAAGGTTGCCATGAGAACAAATAGCAATCTAGAAATGAATAAGAAAATCAACAACACAAGTAAGTATTGCACTTTATACTAGAAAGATTCACTGCAATCTGAAGTTTACAACTTTCCAGCAATACGAGGCTGGTCTCTCCCTAAAGACCCCTCTACATGGTGGAGATTGTTATTTCCCAATATCCCTCTACACACAAGCTGCTACTCTTATTTGTAGCTAACAAACCGACATAACTAACTGACCTAACTAACTGACAACTGTCTTAACTAACTCCTGCCAAAATTGATGAAACCCCCTACATTGGTTGTTGCTTTTCTTCCCCTTTATTCTTCAAGCATATGTAATGACTTCAGGCTTATCATAATTCATAAGGCATTATGGAAAAGATAAACAACTGGATTCATCTTCAAGGAGGGTTACATGCTTCTGAAGGAAAAAAAGGGCAAAATATATGGTAATGCTGGTAAGGCCACAGCTTGTGAAGACCCCAAAACCCTGTGCATATGGTTCCATTTATTGAGGATTTAGGTTATCATGTTTTGCATGCTTTATTTTGAGTTGCTTTGACAGGGTGTTTAATAAATTGAGGATGCACGGTATGGCGGTATATTATAGTAGTTAGTTTTTTTCTTTGCTGTGGTATTGACGAGGTATCCCTAGTCCATGGGTCCCCATACACTCAAAACGGGATAATTATTCTCCCTTCTTGAAGTTGTTTCTGGTGTGACACAAGGGGAGGTCACCTCCATGGCATCAAACTCAGGTCTCCTAACACAGGCAGATTATGTTGGCCCCCTTCTTTTGGGTTTAGTAGCTTAAACCTTGGTAGTTAATGCTTGCATGTAGTTTCTGCCCAGTCTCTTTTATGCTTTATGATATGCACAATACCATGATATGAAAACTATGTTTTGCTCTTATTGTTTACTGTATCCAAATATTGCTTTGTAGTATGTAATCTTCCGACGAGGCATTGGAATTGATCGGACTATTGATTACTTTATTATGGAGAAGGTGGACATGATCATTTCACGTCTATGGGCATGGATTATGAGAGTAACCAGGCAAATTTTCTTCCAAAATTTACTTTTGGGCAAATTGTGCACTAAATGGGAACAAACTTTGCCCTCATTCCTATTATGAGAAACCAACTTTCAGAACGTCCATTTGAGGAACCAACATCCAAAACTTCCTATTTTGGGGAACCAACTTTCAAACTTCTCATTTTGGAGAACCAAACTGAACTTGCTTTCATTCCTATTTTACGGAACATGAATTTGGTCACCGGATCCCTTAAATGAGATGTTTTGATAGTTGGTTCCAAAAATGGAGGTATGAAAGTTGGCTCCTCAAAATAGGAATGAAAACAAAATTGGTTTCATGTTGATGCAATTTGCCCTTTACCTATGAATTAATAATATGAGAGTCTGGAGATATGAAGACGGTAACTAGTCCTGAGTTTTTGTAGTTCTATGTTTATATAGAGAGTTTGTTGATGTTCTATTCCTAATTATGCTTGCAGGCTAGGAAAGCTTTTTTCTAGAAAATCCAGTGCCCGAGTTAAGAATGATCCAAAGAAAGACGATGAAATTACAAATGAAGAATATCCGGATGATTTATATGTTGAGCGTGTCCGGATTGAGAACATGGATATCAGGTCATGAGCTAAGTCTAAATTTTGTTACAGATTACAGTTGTTGCTTCAGGATATTGCTTAATTTTACATGACGAGCGAAAAAAACACCTTTACTTGTTGGATGTACTTCCAAAACCTATAATTAACTAAGTGCACTAATCAATAGCATTTACTGTATCACGTTATCATTTATTTAAACTGCGAGTTCTGGACGATACTGTGCTGCTGTAAATTTTTCCAGCCCTTCCTTTTCAGTTCCTTTTTGTTTTTTCTTTTCTTTTTTGGATAATTATGATGTGTTAAGCTTTTAACTTTATTTTTATTCATATTGAGTGAACTACAGAAATCGTCCCTGGGTTGTGCTTGATATTTAGGTTTCACCCTTCTACAGATTTTTTGCATTCTGTCCAAAACTGACTATTTTCTTCCAACCAAATTACTACAAGTGTCATGATTGCATGTCTTGCTTTAGATATCACATGTGCATCACACATGCCCTTGTTGAAAGGTTATTATCGTCAAACTACTTTCCATTTTATTTTATCCTTTTACCCCGTTATTTGATGGTGAATGCTTAGGTGCCCCTTTATAGGTTCAAGGGCTGGAGTTGACGGTCTAGTCGGTTTCTTTCTCAAACAGTCTCAACTCCCTGCCTCCAAACAGTCATCTCACCACCTAACTGGCTAACCCCCATGCTCCATCTTCATTTTCTTCCTGTTTCTGTCCTCTGTGTCACTCAAACAGAAGAATAATTTCGTTCTTTCTTTTTCTTGTTTCTCTCCACTGTCTCACGCACAGAATAACACATTCACATCCATTAAATTGAGAACTTCTATGGCTTTGAACAAGGTTATTAAGTTATGGATGTAAAACATAAATGGCCTTATAGGGTTTTAATCAGCTAAAATTGCTACATCAGAATGTTTCTTTTCCAAGAACATGGAGAAGGGTTGCAATGGAGGGTGGGAGGGAAGCGTTCATGTTTTCCTCTTCATCTTAATCTTCTCAAGTGTCTGCAAAATTCCTTGCAAGAAACTTATGTTGCAATTTCAGAAGAGACAAGATGATGTATTTATACTTTCTTGAAGAACATTCAACAATAGCTAAGATGGACTAGATGAAGAAGATGGTGTAGATGTTGCAAGATGGGGGGTTGGCATAAAGGGTAGGAAGAATGGTGAAGGGAAGTTCCAGGGAATGAGGAAAGGGGGCTGGAATGGGAAGGAAGGGGGAGGATCTAGGGAATGAGGATATGGGAGAACTTGAAGGAGAAAAGACATATGATAACAATCACTTACATGATCATTAAAGCAACAGTACCGTTTTAATATGGTGTGTGCATTGAACATGATCTTAACAGATGGCAATTAAAGATAGCATCCATAGGGACTAGATTGGGACAGAATGGTCATTTTTGGACTAAAATGTCAATTTTTTTGGTCAATGTTGAATGCTGATTTTTGGAATTCACTCTGATGTACATGAAAGTACACAATAAGCACAAGGATTGATAAACTAGGACATAAGTATTTAGTTATTTATTTGTTTTTGCATCTTTCTTCTGTATAGTTTTTGTTGAGCCAAGCTAAACATTAGTTTACTAGTTGATTGTTGACGAGCCGATAATGGTTGTTGACTTGCCACATGCTTATTTCTATTCCTCCAGCTTACGGAATTTGATGAGTAAGATCACAATCCAAGAACCTACATTTGATAGGATAATTGTCGTATACAGGTATGACTTATTTTATATTAGATGTATTTGTCAATCTTCTTGAACACAATTTATTTTGGCAACAAGAGTTTGTACATGCATGAATATGATGTCAAAACCACAATACTGTAATGATCGGAATGCAGGGGAGCGGGCACGAAGGGAGAAAAGGAACGGGGAATCCATGTGAAGCATTTCAAGAACATCCCAATGGCAGATATGGAATTAGTCCTAGTGGGTTTTCTTTTATCTGTGCCTGTCTTCTGTATTGTCTTCTCTTCATTTGCACGGATCTTCTTTCTAAATCTTGTTTTACGAGTTGTTCGTTCCTTATTTTATTTTTAATCTTATTGACAGCCGGAGAAGAAAAATCCAAGTTTAACCCCTATGGACTGGGTGAAATTTCTCATTTCTGCTGTAGTTGGACTGGTTAGTTGTTTATAATTCATACTGTCATTTACTTACACAGATAAAGTAACCAACACCTCTCTTTTCCAGGTAGCTGTCGTTGGTTCGATTGAGACTCCTCAAGCTGACTTTTGGGTCATGTTTGCCATTCTCTCTGCAGTTGTTGGTTATTGTGCCAAAATATACTTCACGTGAGTTTCATTGTTTTTATTATGTGGGTGCTATTTGTTCTATGATTTGTTATACAGGAATGTGCAATATTTTAAGCAGCGTTTTGCAGACCTAAAAACAAATATGTTGCAACAAATTAAGAGATAATGTTTATATGTATGTTTGTGGCTTTTAGATGTCGGTAGTGATCTTCTAAAGTTGAGGTTCATTATGTAGATAGAGGAGAGTAAGAACTCTTTGATTAACTGGGACTCTGTTGTGGTTATCCTCTCAAAAGATGAGAGGTTCTAAAGGTTAAATATTTGTGAATGATAATCTCTATCCCTTTTCAGTGTGGGTTCTTTTAGCGACATCAGCTGCGCAGTGAGTAATCTGGGTTGTTCTTGCACTTGGGGTTCTTTTAGGCCTACATTGTGGTTGTTGGGTAAAAAACCTGACCTGTAGCTGCCGAACTAATAGTTAATCGTTACTCAATTTGACCATTTGAGCCTTCAGGCCGAAACTTACAATTCTGCATGATGTGGCTGGGGTCGAAATCTGAACTTAATGACGAGATGCAACTGTCAGATCGAGTTCTGGCGATTGGATCAAAATTGTAAATCAGGCTGAGATGTGACCATCTGTTCGAAACTCTTAAAACAGATTAAGATGTAACCATAGGGTCTGGATCAACCATCGGCTCGACATGTGACCTCTAGATTGAGATCTGAATTGGTCGAGATGTGATCTTCAGGTCAAAGTTTGACTTTGGGTTGTGATTTGATCCCTTGGTCAAAATTCAATCATTAGGTGATGTGACTGTGGGCTTGAAGTTTGGGTTCCCTATCATCTTGTAACCATCACGTTGAACTATAATCTCTGTTTAACATGTGACCACCATGTCAAAATTTGACCTTGGGTCGAGGTGTGAGCTCCTGACAGGCCAAGAGGTGACCGTAGGATCAAATTCTGACCTCTGGTTTGGAGTGTGACCTTGGATCAAGATGTGACAACCGGGTCTGAATCAAATGTAGTGTCAGAATAGGATGGTGGGGTCACAATCTGATCTCTAGGTAAAAATGTGACTGTCAGGTAGAAATCTGACTTTGTGTCGAGTTGTGAATGCATAGTCTAGATTCAGGTACTTTGGTTCATGACTACAAAAATGCTCATTATTAGTTTAAACTTGAATAGATCGGTCGATGTGGGTCTATCTGATGATGCCAAGACTTCCAAAAAATTGATGAGCAGACTGTTGGCGGATCTTTGTACCTGCATCATCAACTGAGCGGTTTGAGACCTCCCAGAATGGTCCTGAAAGGGAAACTTTGAAGCCCAAGTCAGTAAATCATACATATTTAAGATGGAAAATGGACATGTTATGGTTGTAGGTAATTGAGAGAGAATGTAAATGCATGTTATGTACCTTTTGATGTGGGTGGCGGCGACCTATTGTAGTTGATGTTCATGGTAGAGATAGATGAAGTTTCGGAGTTTTTCTATTAATTAGACTCCCTTTTGTGTTTATCACTTCAAAGCGGGAAGTTCAAAAGGTTTAAAGATTTTTTCTATGAAAATTCTTGTCCCTTTATGATGCTGCGAAAAAACCTGCTAGTGGAGGAAACCTCTTTATTTCAGTATTAAGAAAAAAGATGGTAGATTATATTGAAGAATATCATAGATCTTAACTTATTGAAGTTCATTGTTCAATATTGAGTTTCTTTTGGTGGGACATCCAAAATTGAAAATTGTTGCTCCTTTTGGGAGGGAGGGAGATGCGGGTAATGCTTTGTAACATTCATGGTCTTCACAGAGAGAATATGTGCGCTCCATTCGTGGGTCTGAAGTATTCCAACAGAAACTCTTTTCATGATATTTTAGGTTATGGTAATAGTTGTAGCCACTGCATCATTGTGCTATCTCCAGACCTTAACTTTCATATGTACTTTCTTTTTATATGCTGTCAACTTTAGGTGTATGTCAAATAGGGTATCCTCTGCTTTATGAACATATGAATCGTGTTATCCACACACATGTACATATAATGATCTAATGCCCGAGGCATCTGTTAATGATGTCCATGTGATTGCATGTAGGTTTCAGGCAAATATGGTTGCATATCAGAGCCTGATTACACAATCGATGTATGACAAACAGCTAGATAGTGGAAAAGGCACTCTTCTTCATTTGTGTGATGATGTGATTCAACAAGAAGTAAGTTCTGCACAAGTTTCCTTTTCTTTTCTTTTAGTAATATGTGATGTTGAAGTTTGCTTATGGATATAGATATGATCAATTTTTAAAAAGTGCACATTTTTCTTTTAAATTATGCAATTATGGCTCTCCATTTCAAACGTCCATTTCTCTTATTTTGGTGCTTTAAAAAAGCCATCAATCCTGGTCAGTAATGTGATTAACCTGAAAACAGAATATATCTAACCAAGCCAGAAATTTAGTTTGTTTCTTTAAAGTCAATGTTCAGACGAGCTCTGGCCATTGTATTTTACGCTATCTACTAAACTTAGCTTGAGGTTAACACCATGTTCTCGAATTTCGAAGGAAAGAAGAGAAAGGGAAAAGAATGGAAAGGAAAAGAAAAGAAAGGAAATAAAGTTTTTTTATTTGTGTTAAGGGAAGGGAAGGGAAGGAACGGGAAGAAAACAATTTTTCATGTTTTTGAACTGACGAGAAAGAAAAGGGAAGGAAATTTCACTTTTACAAATATACCCTTTATATTTGTTTTTCTCACTTTTCCTTGTGTGGGCATTTTTGTCACAAAAGATCATAGACTCCTTTCATATTTTCTTTCCCTCCATTTCTTCCCATATTTGACAGGAAACAGAAAATGATAGTTTCCCTCCTATTCCTCTCCTTTCCCTTCTAAGAAGTTTAGGGAGCATTTGGTTTGATAGAATGGATTTGAAGGATTTGGATTTCGTGGAAGGATTTTGAATTAGAAGGATTTGGAATCTTTGTTATGTTTGGTTTGTAGGATTTGGAATGAAATTGAATTTCATTATTTATAAATAATTTATAAAAAAATATAATAATAATTAAATTATTTTTTATTAATTGATTATTATGAAACAAATGTTTTTAACATATATTAAAACGTTGTTACATACAAATCCTACAAAATTCTTTGAAATACCAACCACCTCCGTGGGATTTGAAAATCCTATGTTTGAGGGATTTCATTGATTTCAAATCCAAACATGGAATTTGAATGGAATTCAATTCCAAATCCATTCCAATCCTACAAACTAAACGGGACCTTAGAGAACACGTGGTTTTGTTGTTTTCCTCTCCTTTCCCTCCCTTTCCTTCAAATAAGTTCGAGAACACAAGGTAAGTCGACCGTGAATTTCTTTTCCTCCATTCTTTTCCTACTCATCAGTCATCACCTTCTAATTCAATATAATGAAGCCACTTTATGTTCTTTCATGTTATCTTCAAGCTAGTCTCATCGTTGCTTTCTATGAATGAATTTTATTTGGTACTAGTTTTATTCAATGTTCAAAAAGGCGCGCCATGGGCGCAAGACGCATCTCCGCTGGTAAATGGCCCATAGCGTTTCTATAAGGCGTGGCTCATGCCATGGCGTCTTGAGGCGCACCATGGCGTGCCGAGGCGAGCGTTCTTTGTAACACGTGATTTTTTTCCATTTTTTTTAATCTTTTGTGTTTTTACACTTCTAACTTTAGATTTTACATTGTTATAGATCTAACTAATCACATCATATCATAGTTTCACAAATTCATAAACATTACAGACTCACGGTTAAAATGAAGTTGTAAAATTACTTTTCTAAGTTCTATTTTAAATGTTTAAAAAAAACTTGTTTTTATAATAATAATCTATATGATTTTTCTTCTTCTAATATGAATGTACATTTTTTTAGTATCATTATCTGATTAGATAATATATAGAAAACATATATCTATATATATAATTCTATATATGACATATAAATTTTCCGTCTTATTGTCACGCCTTGAAAAACGCCGCATCCTCGCCGTGGCGTGTAAGGCTTGAGGCTTGACCTCGCTGCCATGCCACATCTCACGCCTTTTTGAACCTTAGTTTTATTTAATCTCACATCACAGAATCACATGCAGAAAGGGGCTAAATTGGTAATTTGCAGGTAAAAGAGGTGATAATTTCTTTCTTTATACTGATGGAACAAGGCAAAGCCACTTTAGAGGTATTGCTCCTTTGGGTACTCAAAGCTTAATCTACACATTATTTTATATAATCTTATCCTTTATGAAGATACAGGTTTATGACTATCTTGTGATATGTTGTAGGATCTTGATCTACAATGCGAGGAGCTAATTAAAGAGGAGTTCGATGCAAGCTGCAACTTCGATGTGGACGATGCAGTTCACAAGTTAGAACAGATGGGCATCGTTACTAGGGTGAGATTGCATTTCTTTTCCTTCTCTATTCCATGCAAATTACCTTGATGTTAACTAATAGATATGTAAGCATTCAGTGGCGGATCCAGAACTTTGGATGATTGGGGGCACGTTTTAATTAATGTAAAATAGAAGTTAAATAAAAACTACAATGTCATTAAAATTGAGAAACAAATTGCATTCTACAATTATTCTTAGTTTTCATGTTTGAAAACGAGATCAATTTTAAACAAACTTTAACTCAAATTAACTATTCCCTAATTCACAAACTCTTAAAAATTAATAATTAACAATAAACAAATTGATTTCTAGCAAACCCTAACTTAAATAACATTTTCTTTGCTAACAAACACTAAAAATAAATAATAAACAAAAAAACAATTAAACACTGATTGAAATTAGTATTTTATGATTAACAAACCCTAACAATTAATAATAAACATTATAAAAAGCAATTAATAAAAAATAAAGAAGCATTTAATTATTAACATTTAACATATAACAAATAATAATAAATAAAAGATTTCATATAACAAATAAGAGGGGGAATTTGGGGGGCGAGCCAACTGGGGGCAAGGTTGGATGGAGGTGGGGGCACTACTTAGAGAAAGGGTGAGAGCGGGTTTTTTCTTCTTTCTTTCCATGCGAAAATTCAAAGTTCAACGGAGGCACTTCCCCCTCCTTTGTCTACATAGGTCCGCCACTATAAGCATCCATGTAGTAATCCTTCGACAAGCCAGTACTCCTTTTATGCATGAGATAACACTCCCTTTGATATGCATACATTATTGGTCAGGACTGGACCAAGTTGTCTGCTCGGTTTTTGGTAGGACTAGAGCCGGATAAGACATGACTATAGATAAGTTGCCCCTGAAAATTGTTTGATGATTTTATATATCATATAATAGTTATAAATGACACAAATCACGTAAATATTTAAATAATTTAATTTATAAACATTTTAATACATTTTTCACATACATAGTACCAAATTTAAATGCGGAATTTGATACAATTGATGGTAGTTAAAAAAAAACCAAGTTCGAACAAAGAAAAAACTATATTTTATTCGATTTGGAAGATCTGTATGAACTGGTGGAGGCGCAGTGAAGGTTGTTGCAACGATAATGGTGGTAGGGTTAGAGGTGATGGTGACTGGTGGACGACGTGATTGTGGATGATGTGAAGATGGTGGACAGGGTGGTGGTGGCTGTCGGCAGTGGTGGAGGAAGTAGTTGTAGCTGATGTGGTGGAGGTTGAGGTGATGGAGGCGGTGTTAGTGGTAGCCGGTGGTGGTGGTGGTGGACAACAGTGACCGGTGGAGATGTATATTAGACTGAATGTACTTAAGTGCAATTAGTATAATGTAGAGGGCACTCTTATGTAATTAGTATCTCTATATATAGAGACCCATTATAATTAGGTTACATATCAAATCAATACACAAAACCCTTGCGGGTTGTTTTGGTATCAAAGCCAAGTTACCAAAACCATACATGCTCTCTTGGTCACGCCACCACAAGGCTGATCATCCGCTGTCGCCGCCGCTGCTGTCTCTGTTAATCTAATCCTCCGCCGCCGCTGTAGCTGGAATTTGCAGCTGCCGCCGCCGCCGCTGCCGCTGGAATCTGCAGTCTGTTGTCTGCTGTCGCCGCTGGAACCCTAATTTTTGAATCTGCCGTTTGCCGCCGCTGCCGCTGGAACCCTAATTTTTGAATCTGCTGTCTACTGCTGCCGCTGCTTTAATTTCTAGTCTTCTTTTCTTTTATGGTACATTACTACATCATGGCTCTAATAGCTTCTTTCACAACAGCATAGAAACAATCTCACAATTCACACAAGTTTGCTTTTACCCTAACTCCTACAAACTATGATCATTGGAAAACAATGATTCAACCCTTTCTTGTCACAAATAATCGGATATATAGAAGGATCAATACCGTGTCCATCCAAACATCTACCATCAACCACAACCACCTCCGATCCAAAGGCTACCACCAATCCACAAGATAACCCTAATTACCTGATTTGGATTTCTAATGATGCTCACGATCGCATGTTGATTATCTACACTATCTTCGAAGCCTCTTTTCGACATGTCCAGGGTGAAACTTCTTGTGATCTATGGCTTGCCCTAGCATGAGCCTATGCCCCTCGCATATCATCGAGGGAATATACACTGAAAACTCAACTTTTCAAGATTCAGATGAAAGGTGGTGAAAATCCAGAGGCTTATCTCAATCATACACAAGATTATGCAGATGCTCTAGATAAAGATCTCGTTATGCTTGTAGTTTCCGGTCTCCATAAAGAATACAATGGTCTCAAATCTACCATCATCGCATGTCAATTCCCGACTGCCTTCAATGAACTTCATGCCCCTCTCAGTGACCGTAACTACATGCTTGGGAAAACTCGTGCCTCTACTCCATCTGTTTCTCAGGTTTTTGTAGCTATAACCGGCAATTCTGGTTTGTCACAGTCTTCTGTCTATCATCATCAACAACTTGCTACTCAGATCAGTTCCATTGCATCTACCCTTGGTTATCAGTTGATGCCTGCTGCAACTACAAGCATAAGGCTCTCAAGCTTTGTATGGTTCTCGTCAGCCCCACAACAACAACCGTGGTAATTGTCGTCGTGGAACTTCTCATAGTAGCAACCGTGGATGTAGCGTTGGTCGCCAATTTAGCTGGGCATCCAATCAAAACACAATATACAGAACTTGTAACCGTTGTGGTATTGGGCACCTCCCATCACAGTGTCCTAATCGTGATCTATCCACGATTCGTCCTAGGCAAATTGCTAACTTTGCCAACAGTCGTGCCTCCTCATCTGCTGAATCAACTTCATGGTTTCCTGACACAGGAGCGAACAGTCATGTTGCGCCTAATTTAACAAGCATGGATAACTCCGAAGCTTATCATGGTAGTGATGCTCTCCATGTTGGTAATATTAAGGGACTCCCTGTACTTCATATTGGCTCTTCAACCATTTACTTACCACACAAACCCTTTTGTCTATCTAATATTCTTCACGTTCTAGAAATCACCAAAAATCTTATTTCTGTCGAGAAATTTTGTTTATATTACAATGTTTTCTTTGAATTTCACTCAACTTTTTTTGTTGTGAAAGACAAGTCTACATGCACTACCATGCATACGGGCCCAGTGAGAATGGCCTTTACTCTGTTCGTCTACCCCAGTTCAAGTCTGTCAATGAAATCGCTTTTGCTGCTAAGCATGCCATTTGGCATAGGCGGCTCGGTCATCCACATCAGCGTCTTTTTTGTACGTCCTGTCAAATGGGCAAATCATCAAAATATTCATTACCTGTTTCTTCTTTTCGAAGTAATAAAATTTTAGATTTGGTTTATTGTGATGTCTGGTTGTGCACCTATTCTATCTTTTGAAGGTCATCGTTCTTTATGCTATGTGTTGATCATAATTCTCGTTACATGTGGATCTATCCGTTGGCTCAAAACTCAGATGTCTACAACACCTTCAAAGGTTTTCTTACCATGGTCGAAAGACAATTTACTACAAAAGTAAGAAACGGTGAATTTCGAAATCTATCTCCCTTCTTCTCATCCCTTGGCATTGTTCATCACCGTTCATGTCCTCACACTAGTGAGCAAAATGGCTTCGTGGAACGACGAAATCGACATGTCGTTGAAACTAGTCTCACTCTACTTGCTCAATCCAGTGTTTCTCAATGTTTCTGGCATTACGCCCTCGATACCGCTGCATACCTAATGAATCTCATGCCTTCGCGAACCTCAACAAACAAATCACCGTTCGAACGTCTCTTCAAACGATCTCCCAATTACTCCTTTCTTGGGGTCTTCGGTTGTCAATGCTTTCCTCACCTTCGACCGTACAACCATTACAAATTTGACTTTCGGTCGACCCCTTCTATTTCTCTTGGCTATAGTCCTTTCCATCATGTCTATCGTTTACCTGTTGACGGAGCATTTATACATTGCTCGTCATGTTCGCTTTAATGAAGACCACTTCCCCTTTGCTATTCCTACTATCCTCACTTCCTCACCTACATTATCATCTCCCTACACCTCGATATCACCTTACATAGTAACCGACAACACTCCAGTTGTTGCTCCATCTTCTGTGATAACTGATCTGCCCAGTTCACTACATCCTTTCTTGCCCATTTCTCAGTCTTCTGCTGAATCCTCTTCCCCTTTACACTAGGATCCAGGTACCAGTGGTTCATCTCCATTATCATCCACTTCCTCCTTTCCATCACACCGCCTCTGCCTCCTCCTTCTCCTTCTCCTTCTCCTTCTCCTCCTAGACAACGTCCTCCTAACCTCCGGCCCAACCCCAAACAACGGGTTCCCTTCAATCCCTCAGCTAATCTTCCCACCACCTCCATTACACCTACTGAACCAATTCCATTTACCATTGCCAACAAATCTCCTAAATCGCGTCAAGCTATGGCCGAGTACTCTGCTCTTGTTAAAAACGACACGTGGTCTCTAGTTCCTCGTGCTTATGATACTAATGTTGTTGATTGTAAGTGGGTTTACAGGATAAAACGGGACAAGACAGGTGCCATCACTCGTTACAAAACGAGACTCGTCGCAAAAGGTTTTTGGCAACATGGCATTGATTTTCACGAAATCTTCAGTCCTGTTGTTAAGACCACTACCGTCAGGGTTGTTTTATCGCTTGCGGTTTTTCAGAAATGGTCGCTCAGGCAACTTGATGTTCAAAATGCTTTTTTTCATGGCCATCTTACTGAAACCGTCTATATGAAGCATCATCATCACGAGAAACAATAATGTTGCTATCGATGCCATCATTTAACAACAGGGCTCAACTTTTGCGATAAAGGATCTAGGTTCTCTAAACTACTTCTTTGGTATTGAGATCGTCCCTCAAGGACCAGACATCATCCTATCTCAAAAGAGGTACATTTTGGAGCTCCTACAACGAGCAAGCCTCCAAGACTCTAAGCCCATGTTTTCCCCCATGACCTCGTCCTGTTCTCTATCTTTAGTTGACGGTTCTGCTTTTTCTGACCTAGCTAATACAGACAGGTTCTTGGTGCTCTTCAATATGTTACTCTTTCTTAGCCAGACATCGTTTTTGCAGTTAATAAAGTGCGTCAGTTCTTGCATGCCCCTATCGAATCACATTGGTCTGCGGTCAAACGGATTCTATGCTATCTTTGGGGCCACTGTTGACTGTGGCTTACTCATTCGTCAGACATCTACTTTATCTCTCCAAGCCTTCTCCGATGCTCATCAGTCTCTCCAAGCCTTCTGGCTTCTCCAATGCTGATTGGGTTGGGTGTCTAGATGATCGTCGATCCACGGGGGGATTTGCCATCTATTTGGTGGCGACGAGGGAAATTGATGGAGGATGTAGTTGTTGCCGATGTGGTGAAGGTAGAGACAGTGGTGGAGGAGGTTGTAGTAGTAGAGATGGCCAACAGTGGTCGAAGGTGGCTGTGGGTGGTGGTGCCAGGGAGAATGATGGGTGGTGGTGACCATTAAAAACAAATATCATATTAGGGTTACATCAATGAGGGTAAATTAATAATTTTTAGTTTCTGTCTCATCTTTGTTCCACTTATTTTGGTGGAACAAAATAGTCTTTTTTGTCCCACATTATCCCACCCACTCCTTGTCCCATGTCATGCCAAACACGGGACAATAAGTTTTTGTTATATCTCATGCCACGCCAAACATGGGACTATGAGTTTTGTTATGTCATGTTCTGTCCGATGTACCAAACACAACCTTATGGTTACTCATCTGAAGATCGCAAAGAGCATCTTCAGTTATGAACCTTCCACTCCAAGTTCATGACTATGCCTTATAAGATTTCTCTTTTCAACACATTTTATAAACATTCTATCTCCAATCAAGAAGTGGACCATGATTTATGATTAAAAATTACAATAAAGGAGAGTAGGTGAATTCATATATTAAAATGGATTTGGGGCCATAAAAAGTGGTGGTGGAACCAGTTTTTTCTAAGCTGATGTGACAATGGACCGGTCCAAGATCCAACCATTGGAGATGTCCCAACTATAAGCTAGCTTATTTTTTTGAGTATATATGTTTGAATAGACATAAGTTAGTTGAAACGCTAGTTGGAGTAGCTTTTTTTAGGAGCTTTTTGCCATTTTTTACAATTATAATACTAATTAATATTAATTATGGACAAATATTAACAAAAATTAATTATGACTAATATTAATTGAAAATTATTAATTAATGTTTATTAAACATTAGTATTGATTATTAATTATATGGAATTATTATTAATCATATCAATTATTTTTCCAATTATTATCCAATATATTTAGTTATCAAAAAGTAAATATAACAATTCTAAAAATGTTAATGTAAGTTACATAGATTTTTTCTAAAATTTGTTTTATAAAATCCAAATTTGTAATATATATAGGGTTGGGTTCCAGTGAGAAGTGTAAGAAGAGATCTCCAAACCTTTGGATCAATCCTAATTGAATGTCAACACTAATGAAGTGCATCGGATCAATTCCCTTTTAAAGCGCAATTCATGGGTGGACATGAGATTAAAAGTGATAAAGGGTTCATATATCTTTTTACGCTTCTCACCATAACTTTCCTTGTCTCATGATTCTTCGCCTATATATATGTATATAATCAATTTTGAAATTCTTTTAGTTAACAGATTATTTTATTTGATTTTCCTTTAGTATCTTGTTTGTATTGATTAACATATTATATTATTTGGGATTTATTCTAATTATATTATGAAATTTTGGAATTGAATAATTTCTTAAGAAGTCCTTTTTGGTCATTTTACATATCTCATCAAGCTTACCAGCTAGTTTTTGCAAAACGTAATTTGTTAATCAGCTAGCTTATCAGCCATCAGTTAGCTTAATAGTCCTTTTGCCAAACATCGACTAATGGTTTTAATCTAAACCAAGCACCCCCAGTATATCCCACCAGAAGGGGAGGGGGGGGGGGTAAGAAGTACACAAATGTGACCTCTATCCTAAAGCGACTGTAACCATGAAGTGTATAGTGATGGGTAGTCTTAACGTAATTATTCATATTTGAGTGTAGGATTCAATTGGAAGATATTACTGTGTTGGTTTGAAGCGTGCAAACGAGATCATTGGCACCACCACAGAGGAGCTGGTACTCAAGGCAAGACAGGAGGGGACTCTTCAGTCTTCATAATGTTGCATAGCCTTGAGGCCTAGATGGTAAATTCCCAAAGAGGGATGTGTTAAAAACCTTTTCACTTGTACCAAATGTATGTAATATTTGTTGCATCCTTTTGATTAGTTGGATTTCATATAAATTTCCAGATTGTGATGAATTCCTTGTGTTTTTCTCTCCTGCCGCCACTGCCACTGCCACTGCGTCTGCCGCTGCCCCAGTGGTGGTTGGTTTTAAGCATATTCTATGTACAATATTGATTCATGTGATTGTGTACAATAAAGGATGAACAGGAAGCTCCCAAATTAATTTGTCGTATTTTACTTCTTTATTCATATGATATTGTTAAAGAAAGTTGTGTATTTTGATTGCTTGTATGATTGAATATTCTTGGTTTTTGTCCATATCCAGAAGAGCTTTTTGTTCGTCATAATTAATATCTAAATTCTAGATGTTATGGTAAAGTGGCATGGCATGGCATGACGTGATTGGATGTGATGTTATGGTCAAATAAATACAAAGTATATCCATTTTAAGCCTTAAATAAAGACGAGTCCAAAGTTTGCTGACTAACCACTTTGTATTACAATAACTTAACTAACTTCATTCAGGTTTTAATATATATATATATATATATATATATAGAGAGAGAGAGAGAGAGAGAGAGAGAGAGAGAGAGTGTGTGCGCGTTTGGTTTAAATGTTTACCAAGATTATTGTGATGCTCAACCAATAAAAATCAATCTTTTCTTTAGGTTCACATACATCTCATATGTTAGTGATAAGAATAATTAAATAATTTTACTATTTTCTGTAACTCCCATATCATTAATTGAGAGTTACAAAATCTAAAAATCTCGTAATTGATGATGATTTATTGATCTTGTTTTTTCAATTTGTTATTGTTTTTTCAATTTGTTATTGTTTTTTAAATTTGATTTATCTATCTATAATGTTATTGAATTTGAGATTGTTAAATGATTTTCGATGCCGTGATTCATAAGTGTTCATGTCTATTCAAGTCACTAGATGTTCATATGAATCCATACACACACACGGAACATGTGAAGACATATGAGCACGTATGAAAGCATACAATCCTAGATGTCTTGGTTCATACGTGTTCATGTACATACAACAAAGTTGACTCAAGAATATACAGAAGATGTTCATACAGTTTACATGTTGTTCATGTCTATATATATATATATATATATATATATATGTGTGTGTGTGTGTGTATGTATGTGTGTGTGTGTGTGTGTTCATATGGTTCTTACATTAACAAAAAGAATGAAATGTTTTGATTTTGTAGCTCCCAATTAATGATATGGGAGTTATATAAAAAAGAAAATTACTTAAATACCCTTTTCCTCTTTGTTTACATATGTTTTTTGAAATTGTAAATTTAAAAAATTAATTTTTTATCATGATTAATCACAACCGTTTATTGTAAGAATCAATGACGAAGATTGATTAACAAAGTTAACACAATAATCTTGGTTAACATTTGAACCAGCCCCTATATATATATTGTAAAAATGTTGGTCTCACGGGTCTCACGAAAATAGGCTGGTCTCACATAATCCCAAGTCTATATATATAGGGACTCGTTTAAATTACCTAATTACCCTTGTATTTAATATATGAGTTACATAAATGTCAAATTACCTAATTACCCTTGTATTTAATATAAGAGTTACATTTGAACATAAATAAAAGATGGAATATGATTGGTTAAGCTTGGTTAGTATAGTTAACACAAATTTTTTGGTTAGTATTTGAACCAAGCGTTCTCTCTCTCTCTCTCTCTCTCTATATATATATATATATATAGCATTGGGGTTCGATGAGAGTTATGGTGAGAAGGGTAACAAGCGATCTTCACCTTCCATCAATCTCAATTGAATGTTCCACTATATCAATACTAATGAAAAGCTCCGGATCAATTTTCTTTAAAAACGTAATTCATGGGTTGGTTTGAAATTAAAAGTGATCAAGGGTCAAAATATTACTTTTATGAATGCATCATTTTCCATATTTTTGTTTTGTTGTTAGAAGATGATAACAAATTTGAACCCTACTTACATATTTGTATATACACATGTACTAATGAACGAGACCACGAGTCCACAAATGGATGCTCAACCTTTAGTATTTGTTTAAGTTGTTACCTTTTTTATGTTCTGTTTTCTGAATTTGAGAAGAAAATAAATAAAAAATAATAATTTTTTTACCCGTGTTCTCGAAAAGGAAAAGAAATATTTTTTCATGTTTTTTGAACAAAAAAAAAGTAAATAAAATATGTCATTTTTACAAATATACCATTTAAATATATATGTTCTTTGCTATGAAATGTTGGGTAATTTTAATATATTTTTAAATGATTTAAGAATATTTCATTTTTTCCCTTCCCCTCTCTCAAATTTGGAATAAAAGTTCTGGAAGAAAAGTTATGATTATTTTCTTTCCGTTTTCTTTCTTTCCCTTCTAAAAAGGTTTTGAGATCACGAGTTTTTTTTTTTTACTTTCTTTCCCTTTCCCTTCCGTTAAAAAGGTTTCGAGAACACAATGTTGGTGTAAAACGAATTTGTAAATATCTGTATCTATACTATATTATAAAGCATTTGCCTAAAACTCTTAAAACTCTTAAAAACTCTTAAACCATATTTTATCTCTATCCGATTTCATTCCATATCTGAATTCGAATAACTAACAGCAGATAAACACAATCAAATACATGATAAACATCTAATTTTAAATATAAAAAATCTAAAATATAATAAGGATAATCATTGAGTTCTAACAGAATACTTAATTATTAT